TATCTTAAAATAAAAATTTACTTTCCTAGTTCTGAAGCCTAGTACTATGTAGGATATTTTCCAAAAGACTAAAGAGATGCTTCAGATAAAAAGTCAGAAATGTATAAAACACCATCAGAAAGGTTTTTAAAAAGAACATATATAATCGGACAATCATTCTTTAAAAAAAACTTTTCACATCAATTTCTTCTGTTCAGATTAAAGTGACTCAGGTATTTTTAAATATTTTAGAAACATTACTCAAAAATTTTCAAGGCTGTAGCTTTCAGCTGTTCCCTGAATCCCAGGGTTGTTCAGATGAAGTGAATCTTGTGAGAACTTACACTGACTACAAGCTTTTTTGGGCATGGACCATGTCTTACTCTTTTTCTCACATCCAGTGCTTAGAAATAGGAACTCCTCAACAAATGTTCATTGAACTCAACTGCTGAAATTATAACAGCTAAAATATCAACACAACTCTTAATAAATAAAGAGTCCTTTGGGAGGACTGTGGGAAATCTAAACACTTTTAAGTTTACACAAGTATTCATAAACAAACAAAATGTTCTAGTTTATCCTTAATGCCTTGGCTCTTATGACTACTATAGAGAAAGGCGATTAAAAGGGAAAAATTTCCTGAGTAGTTCACATGATATGAAGAATTGAACACTGAAAAGCACTCCAAAAATTTTAAGAGGCATGCCAAATATTAGCTATATCCAATCTTATATGGTATATAGCAACCTTAGTAATTAATAGAAGCACATAATTATTTTATACAGGTCTCATATTAAGGCCTGCTTTTAAAATTAAGTCACTGAAGAGAAAAAATTTTCAATTTGTATATTTAAACCATTAATTTAGATTAAAACTGTTGAAGTCTATTAATTTAACATAGCCGAAAGCTGGTATTTGAGGGAAAGGCTTTCAGTACTGGATATGAAGCATAATTAAAACACTTTCCATTAAAAGAAAGGCACGTAAAGCAGGTCTACCTACACCACTAATTTAGGTCAGAAACTAATTCAATATTTTAAAAATCATATAGTTTTAAACTTTGCACTAAGTCAGCCTAGCCCTTTTAAAAAATGAGGCAGGTTTCCTAAGCGTACCTGAAGCAAAGTAATGTTAAGTATCTCTTTTCTTCTACAGGTGGTACAAGAGATGCCTACAACCACAAAATTAAAACTCATCTTAGGATCATGATCTGTCCACAAAGCTATTTTAAACTTTGATGATTCCAAGCAGGGAAGCAGTATTTATGTATTCAAAAGTAATGAATATTCACAGGTAAGCTACTATACTAAATACTATAAGAATTTAAAAAATACCCATACACAGGCATATTAAAAAGATTCTGGCTTCAAATATACAATCCAGTAGAGAAATAATAAACCATACATACAAGGTCTGTCCAGAAAGTATCTGGTCTTCGTTACTATGAGAACAGTTTGCGTGACATTGATGTAACCTGGCAACCAAGGAGAGTGGACTGGAATGCGCATATGTGAACAATGATGACGTCACTGTACTAGACAGTGGGGCGCTAGACACAGTCGAGTTAGCATGTGTACTATGTGGCTGTTGCATTCAAAATGACTGAGCAAGTACAGCAACGAATCTGTATCAAATTTTGAATTAAGCTTGAACATTCCTCCGCAGAAACTCTGTGGATGATTTGGAAGGCTTTCAGGAACGATGCAACGAGTGCAGCACAAATAAAAGTGTGGCACAAATGCTTCAAAGACGGTACACAATCTGTTGAATGTGATCCAAGTTCTGGAAGGCCTGCAACAAGCAGAACACCTGAGAATGCTGAACGTGTACGAGTTGCAATTAACAAAGATCATCGATGGAGTGTGAGAACTAGAAGCTGATCTGGGGATTTCAAAAACTACTGTGTCCGAGATTTTGACGCAGGCTCATGGCACGAAACGTATCGTGGCAAAATGCTTTCTTGCCGCTTCTGCTACCAGAGCAGAAAGAACATCGTGCTGCATTTGCTAATGACTTGCTTCAAACTGCTACCAATGAAACCGATTTCCTCAAGAAGGTCATAACCAGAGATGAATCGTGAGTCTATAGCTAAGACATGGAAATGAAGGTCCAGTAGTCCCAATGGAAGTCACCTGGTTCTCCACACCCGAAGAAATTGCAGCAAAGTCACAGCAAGATCAAGATCATGTTAACTATGTTTTTTGATAGGGAAGCAGTTGTCCAGCACTAGTACACTCCTCCAGGCCAAACAATTAATAAGGAATACGACCTCCATGTTCTTCGTTGGTTGAGAGATGCAATGCAACGAAAGCGGCCACAGCTATGGGCAACTGGTGATTGGCAGCTTCATCACAACAATGCACTTGCCCATGCATCACATCTCACGCAGAGTTTTTTGGCAAAACATCAAATCACCCAGGTGACTCAGCCACCCCCGACACCCCAGATTTGGTGCCCTACGACTTCTGGCTTTTCCCCAAACTAAAATCACCTTTGAAAGGGAAGTGATTTCAGACCATCAGTGAGATTCAGGAAAATGCGAGGCAGCTGATGGCGATTCCAACAGAGGATTTTGCAGAGCGTTTTGAACAGTGGAAGAACTGTGTGAGGTCCCAAGTTGGCTACTTCAAAGTGGAATGAGGCATCACTGTCCCTAAGGGGACTGAGGCGTCACTGTCCTATGTACCATGTTTCTTGCATCTTGTATGTTCTTCAATAAATGTCTCTCTTTTTCATATTACATGGCTGGATACCTTCCAGACAGACCTCGTATACAGTTAAGAATGAGTTTACCACCCTATACCACAAAACTCTGTCATGGATGTCAATTCTGAATATAAGGTTTGAAATCTCTTGGACTTTTAAAAATACATACAACATGTAAGTTTACAAAATATTATCACTGATAAACCATGTATCATCCAGCTTAGGAAGTGGCATAACATACCAGCTCCTAAAATATCACAATTACATCAAGTATAGATTTGCAAAAATTTTCACTTTAGATATGAGGTAATATGTTTTCTCCACATCCCATCCTCACTTATCAGGGATGAGAAATTTGATTCTTTTAAGATTGAAATACAAGCGCGTCCTCCCCTTTGTTAAAAAAATTAAAGAAAAAAAATCATCACATCTTCTTAATAATTCATAACGGTTCCTAAATCTTCCTCTTATTCTATTGTATTTGAAAACTGTTCTTCTTGAAGTTTCAATTTAAAGTCCTCCCTGATCCTTTCCAGCAACTCTGGTTTAAAAATAACATCCAGTGCAGTCATTGCCAGAGCTTTGGCCGTACGCAAAGTGTAGAACTGAGCTTCTTGTGACCCTAAAAGGTATAGAAAATAATTTAAAATATCTCCATATTTATTAAAAATTACTTGATTAATTTTTTAGGTTAGCTCTCAATGTCTAAATTGGCTCTCCAACTGCGCACCACAATATAGTATTTACTGAGGTGATGTTACACAATAAAATAGTAGGCAGTTACTACTAGTAGAAGAGAGCACAGGCCAAAACATTCACCTCCAACAACACTTACCTGCAGCTTCGGTGTACTGCTCAGTGTGATTCAAGGCTTTAGATCCAATGTAAAAATACGGATGAATTCCAGGAACCACAAAAGTAACATTTCCAAAATCAGTAGATCCTTGGAACACAAAAAGTATATTTGTTTTTAAACATT